CAAGGGAAATACTGGCTTGTGTGAGCACTAGATAAGGAGGTGGCATAAGAAAGACATGCCCTAGTCTGAGTCTTCACTATCTCAGAATTGGGTAGCCCCGGGAGGGACAGTCTCTTCTCAGCAAGCAAGGTTTATAAGATGTCTAAACATACAGAAAATAAACAACATGATTAACACAGACTGAAAAGGGGAAATCACAATGTGGACTATGGGCCCTGCAGGACCCAGAACACCATGACCCACACCCCATCCTGAAGGGCAGGAGGGACCCTGGGATGGAGGAAGGGTGGGAAGTCAGCCCCAGGGCCTCCAGAGAGAATCTAGACCTGGCCACCTGCCACTATCCACTCGTCCACTCCCTCCCCAGGGCCCACCCAGCTCTGCCCTCATTGCTGCCTCACCCTGTCTGGATTTGGGGCTGTTTATATTGTTAAACCTGGCACAGGGCAGGATATGACAGATGACAACCATTTGCAAAGACAGAAAGTAAATTCCCCTCATGGTGTCATTCTGAATGGACTGCAGACAATTTTTTACTTGGTCAGGTGACATTTATCAAGGCTAGTGATGCAGAATGGAGTTTCTCCCATCCTTCCTCTGGAGTTGTCCCTTCCAGGCTCATCCCAAGACCCCATGACTGAGCAATGGGGCAGCCGGGCAGGGCTGAGCAGGCCAACTGACATCTGAGCCACTATCTGGGGTGGCATATTGCCCACAGAGATCAGGCAGTGGTGGGAACAGAAGAGAACGGGAGAGGAAAGCAGGTACATCGACATGCTCCCCTCCCAGTGCCACCCATGTCCCTTCTGCCAGCTCTGAGCCACCTCCTTCAAGCCCTCTCCTAAGGCCCAGCTACTGGACACTCAGCACACCCTGCCTTGCCTCCGATGTAGGCCCAGCCCTGTTGCACACTCCAGCTGCCAGCCCTCACCATGCTGGGCCCACAGCTGGTGCTCCAGCCCACAGATGGTGATGGTGGCACCACAACATGCCACCATCCTGTCCTAAGTGGTGGCACAGGAGGTCAGAAGGGAGGAAGGGAAAGAGTAAGCACCCCCAACAGTCCATGTAGGCACATGAAAGGCGTGGAGGCACTTTGGTCCTTACAGTAGCTGGTGGTGTCACAAGCACTGAGTGCGGGAGTCAGGGTGTTGAGGTAATGTGCACAGGCCAGCTCAGTAAAAGGTCTCCCCCCTCTGTATGCAAGCCGAAAGAAGGGAGGGAGGGAGGCAAGGAGAGAAGGGAAGGACGGAGAGGGAAAGGAAGGGCAGGAAGGCTAGACACCAGGGGCCTAGCCCGTCCCCAGGGCATGCGGAAGGCCAGCCACCCACTAATCTTTGGTAGTGTCTCTACCCAGGAGATCCAGACACCAACTTGCATGCTCCCCATGGATGAGAACCTCTTCCTAATGGATGAGAACGCTGAAGTCTGGCAGAAAGGAGGATTTCCCCCAGGCACATGCTGGATTAGTGGGTTTCTGGACTCTGACTGGAATGGCCATCAACTCCAGTGACCACCTGCCCAGGTCTCGGAGGGCCTTGGGCAGTGGAGGCTCAGCAGAGTGAGATGTTACCAGCAGGGTCGGAGCAAATATCACTGGAAGTCACTGTTAACTGAGGAGTAAATGACCAAGGCTCAGAAAGGGGAAACAGCAGGTCCATTCTGGGCAGCAGGATCTGGGGTCTGAGAGTCTTCCCTGGTCAAAGCTGACCTCTGCAGTCTGTGAAGGGCCAAGGACGGGGTGTCCTGGTTTCCTTCTGTGAACATCCAGGACTTCGTCCAGCACCCGACCCCAGCCGTGAGATGTTAGCAGGCTCTAGAGAAGAACCCTGCATTATCTCTTCCTGGCTTCTGGTGGTTGCCAGCAATATTTGGAATTCCTCAGCTTGCAGTGCATCACCACCATTCCTGCCTCCTTTGTTATGTGACACTGTGTGTGTGGTTAAAAAACTGAACATATCTTTTGGGGGACAATATTCAACCCAGTAATGTGATCAGTCCCCCAGATCTGTACTGCTGTACTCAAAGTGTGGT